TAGCTCAACCTCTTCAACCTCACAACTCACACGCGTACGCAATTCAACTTGCAGGGACTCAGTAACGACAAGACGTGGTGACGAAGATTACTTCGAACGTGTTAATCCTTTACCGATGCAAATTCCGCTCGCGAAAGAATGAGGCAGAGGCAGCTAGTGGTGCAGGGGTTGGGATTGTAGAAATAATGTATTAATTACTATTTTTGTATTCTATAATTTAAATATAATTATATTTGATTAATTATTTGATACAAAATTGTATACTAAGCAAAAGCAAACCATTCAAATGCTTGTAATGACTTATAAGCATTATAAGCAGATATTATACTTTCTCAAATAAATAAGTATGTCTTAGTCTTGTAATCTTAGAAAGTGTTATAATCACTTTTATAACTTGACAATTTATAAAATTATAATAGAAATTGCCAAGTTTTAAAAGTATTCTTACTTACTTATCTAACATTGTACTGTCATTACTTAACCCCCCAGGAAGATTATAAGTAATTGGACAAATTTTATAAAATATACAAAATATACAAGATTACAAGCAAGTATAATACTTAAGACTTTTTCGTGATGTGGTCGTACTCCGGATTACTAAATAGGCGGGCTATTGGCAGCATGTCAGAAAGTATGCAACGTGCATACAGAACTCCGAGTCTCTTGACTACAAACCTTGATGACGTACACACAGCAGACAATTCAGTACAAGTATAACAAAAAGGCTGTAAAAGATTGTCTTATTGTATAATCAAAGACCTGCTCCAGAATAAGATTTAGTGTGTAGTGCAAATTGATCGTGTACCATGTTGTTTATAATTATGTCTACTGTGATAATTGGTGAAGCCAGGTTCGAACAACAATGTAACTCAGGACAGACAGTGCTAAAATATGGAGAGCCTAGTACAGAGGAAAACTATTGCAGGAAAAAAGGATACCGTTACAGTTTGCCGGTACAGTTAATCCAAGGCCAGCAAGTGCTTTTTGGTTTGAAACATCAGATTAGTACAAGATATACTAGGGACCAGTAAAGTTCAGGGACAAGGATACAACTCGTCCTATTTGAATTACATAGTGTTCTAGCTTTGTGTACCGTGCTGTCTAACGGCTCAAGGCAGAAGAAGATCAAGAAGTGCCGATACAGATATCGGCAGCGAAAAAATGTTGCAAACTCCGAAGGCACGTGCACAGCACGTGTAATAATTTAATAAAGAGGAACTCAGGAAGAGTCTATGTGGCCTTCAGAACCAGCGCTTGTCACACACACTCTATATTTCCATTGGGAAATATGCTCCATTTGAATTCGAAAACACATGTGCAGCACATGTAATGCGGGAACTGCGAACCACATTCTCGTAAAGGCGCTTGATGTGAATACCCAAAAGGAAAAGGTTACATTTGACACACAAATTGTTGCCCCGAACGCCCTTCTGTCACATTTGCCTTTCCATACAGTGCTAAAGGTACACAAATATGCTTATCTTTTAATCACTTAGCTGCCATACTCTGTCAGAGTGTCTAGATTACTACAAACGTAGTTCTGTCTGATGCATTGTGCTACCGAAGTATTTTGCTACATTTTGCTATGTGATGTGAACATTAGCTTACAGGAAACAAACAGGACAGCATATGCAAGATGAAAGCGCCATTTTCAGGCCGTGGAGAACGGACATGACAATTGGTGCAGCATAGTTGGCATAAAGGGTAGCCATTGCAGAAAGGGACGAAAAGAGAGCCAGGATTTCGGTCCTCGAGTTTAGCCAGGAATATTACCAGACGCTCTACTGGAACAGTTCTAGACTGCATCATAGCCGTCGAAGAACAATTTGTCCTTATAAAAAGGTAAAGGACCATATTGTTAGGCAAATATTACTAAATTAGCAGCGATCAAGCTCCGAGTTCCACACTTCTAAGCTCAACATTGCTGACTGAGTATTCCTTGGAAGAGAAACCTCTAGCACCTTTGTCCATTGGTCTTACAACACGTCCGGAACTTTCTCGCAGAACGGCACGCCTTTCCTCGAAGTTATATACAAACGTATAGTAGCGGCTACGGCATCCTCGTGT